CCGAGGTCCTCGGCTAACACTCGAAACCTAAAGAGTGAATTTATCTCGTTGCCCTCGGCCAATCCGCACGGCAACACTTACCAATATGAATGCTTTGGTTTTTAAAAACACAAACAATTGCCACATCAGGAAAAGCAACAATTTTCTCTTTTTTTTTTTGGTAATTCGCATACAAGGCATCATTCATCAGAGATTGGTCCTCTCAACTCATATCTTGCATTGCCGCACTCGTACGCTATTCCAATATTCAGATTTGTTTTCCATGTGAAATACTAAGTAAACAAACAAGGGAAATGGTTGTTTTCCCAATTCCCATTGAATATCATTTCTTTGCTCTTTTGAGTAAATTTCACTGACCTTCCCTATGTTTTCAGAAACTACTTCCCCTTTGTCAATGCATATTTTCATATCGTTCATCTCCTTCCTATGCTTTACCAACCAAAAAAAAAAACTCCTTGGTATTATGAATTCGCTAAATGAGGATGATCAAACATCGCTGCATGACAAGTAAAATATTTCTAGAACCCGAAAAAATATCACTAACATGGGCAGAGTTTTCATGACCAAATTATTCCTCATAGAGAGTTTCATAGAGATTAATGGTTTCTCAATCATCATTCTTCAAACTGGTGAAATATGACATTTTTTTTCTGTGAAAAAATAGTGTTTTCAGTAATCTAATTTTTTGTTGGTCCAAGTTGAATTGCATTGACCCGTTAAATTGGATTAGTGCATTTTCAGTCTGATGATTCGCCAACTGGATGATGTTTGGTATATATGGCGTTTTGGAACGACGGCACCAGTTCAGCAGGTTTTTAGTACAAAAATCCCCAATTCGTTATTTGGTTGAGCCTTTTAATTGATAAACATTTGTTTCTATTTAAATGTAAATCATTAATGCCAAAAATAACATTTTTCATTTCCAAGGGTCTTTTTTTAGAGCTCGGATCTCCAGCTCACAAGAATCCTAGCTAACATCTTCAGTATTTATATCTTACCAATTATGAGAAGATATTCCCAATGTACAACTGTAGTATCTGGTGGGCAGGAGATCCCGCAGTCCTTTATTTTTTACTGTTTGGCACATGTGGCACCTAGTAACATCTAATAGCGCCGAGTTGCCATAAAATGTTTAAACCAGATTTTGTCTCAATTTTAATTTGTACAAAACATTTAGCAGATAAATGCCAACGATACCAACCATCCCCTACCTTTAGGTTTCTAATCTAGGCATTATTAATGTCTTCAAGCACGATTAGAGTGGATAAAATGCCGAAACCTTCCTGAAGTTTATGGCTGTTGCTGAAACTTCCCAGGCTGAAGTTTGATAATTGCAATCACGATTTACGTCCCCTGACATAGTTGCAAGTAGACCCTTAGAATCCTCAAACGATAAATTTTTTTGGGCCGCTAACGACAATCTTAAGCGGGTTGACATGTCCTTCCCTTTTCCAGAACAAAGGGTTTGTGATGTTGACCACGACCGACCAGTATTCATGAACACTATCACATTCAAATGTACTCGTCTTCCTATGGAAGCTTTTGCCTGCACCCTATAAAATCCACTTACAGGAAGGTTGGTTCTCAACTACAACCCACACAACCGTAGCAATAAATCATTCAATCATCCCACTCGGTTTCTTTGTCTCCAAAGCTTTCATATCTAAACATGTCTACGCTTCTTACCAGATTTCCTGCAACAACTACACTGTTTTCTGCCTATACGGCCCTTGCAACATCGATGATGCTCGTTCGAACCATGGCCAGTGAAATCCGAACAACGATACCTTAACAGCTACAGGACAAAATCTCCTCCATCCTTGGAGCCCTGTGCAGCTATTGCTCTTCTAACTGATCACCCTCCTCATCGACGAGTATGATCATGGGGGTTGCTCCATCAACGACATCTTCGAGGCCTCAGAAATTGCACTTACCCACCAAGATAACCCCCTCCGTTAATAGGCTGAAGGTGGGTAAAGCCCAAGCAGAGAAGAACTTATCCGTTGGCATTGAAGCAGGTGAGGAGATTGTTGAAGTCTTCCAAGGGATTCAACTGAATGGAAATTCATCTGTACCGAGACAGGTAAGGCTAGTCGTGTTCACTTTGATGATTATTCAACTTACCAATCATCCTAAAAGAGATTCTTCGAGCTCAGTTTCCATAAGAAACACAAGGAAAAGGTGATGAATTCATGCTGCCTTGCATGCTGAAGAAATCAGAAGTCATCAAAGAAGAAAACAAAATCGTTAAGTTGCATTCTCTAGGCAGCTGTGCTTGGGTATCGGTTAACCTCAATCACCCGGCAACTTTTGACACATTGGCCATGGATTCAATGCTCAAGAAGGAAGTGATGGAGGATCTGGCGAGGGTTGTGAAGAGAAGGGAGTTCTATAGGAAAGTGGGGAAGGTTTGGAAACGTGGGTATCTGTTGTATGTCCCTCCTGGAATCGGAAAGTCCAGCTTGATTGCAGCCATGGCCAATTATCTCAACTACGACATCTATGACTTGGGAGCTCACCAATCTGCATGGCAACTCAGAACTCAGAAGCTGCTCACATCAACATTCAACAACCAATCGATCAATACTCGTGATCGAGGATATTGACTGCAGGGTCGAATTGCAAAATCGGAAAACAACGAAAGAATTCCACACTGCAGAGAGACAGAGAGACTTGACTACTACAAGATACAGATGTTCATAATCTTCAGGTGGTTTCTGTTTTTCTTCTTTCTAAATTGTTTTTTCCCCCTTTTTGCACCACAGTTGACATTATCGGGTTTGCTCAATTTCATTGATGGGCTGTGGTCAAGCTGTGGAGATGAGAGGATCATCGTGTTGACGACCAATCATAAAGATCGGTTGGACTCTGCAAGACCGAATGGATATGCACATACACATGTCTTACTGTACCCTTTGTGGATTCAAGCAACTCGCGTCTAACTACCTCGGAATATCTGATCACTGTCTCTTCGTAGAAATCGAAGAATGGAGGTGGATGCCACGCCAGCAGAAGTTGCTGAAGAGCTCATGAAGAGTGATGATGCAGAAATTGCCTTGGCAGGGCTGACTAGATTCCTCCGAAGGAAGAAGACGGAAGGTAATAAAACTGACGCTGAAGTTGTAAAAGAAGATGATATTCAAGAAAAGGAACGGCAAGAGATTGAGGATGGAGTTGAGAAAAAGAGAAAGAAGTAGTAAAGAAAAGCAATATTAGTGTGCATTGTGTATTTATCAGAATATAGTGACAGAACGGAAGTGCTTTTAGTGATTCTAAGTGGGTCTTAAATTCTAAAATCATGTAAAATAAAATTGATTAAAGAAAGGTATATTTTTTAGCATGAAAGTTAACAGATCGCTCCTCTTTGGTTTGCCCTTGCCTGCTCCAAGCCCCAAATTCTTGTACTGTGAAGAGAATCAGACTGAAGCAGTAGGCCCTCTCAACTTTCAATTCCCTGCCTGCAACAGGTCTCCTAGGTAGTATGTACTGCGAGTTCACCTCACAACACGTTTCAGCCATGCGATATCTCCCCATGCATAAAAATTTACAGTTACTGGATGCACAATTGAACCAAGCTGTAAGGTCGTGTGAGGCGCGCTCTGTGGAAAAATGTTCTCAATACACAGCTGAAACGTGCTGTGAAGTCAGTGTGGGGCACACGTTCTGTGAAGAGCAGATCCGAATTGAATTGACTTTTGACAGTCGAAATAGAAACATGGAAGATTAGTTCGCATTACACCCCATCTAGACATCCATCAAGAGTCAAGACCATGAATCCATGGGAGAGGAAGATGCAAACTAGTTTTGCTCATAGGGCAAGAGATTGAATGAGGCAGAAGCCTCTTATGAAGGCTACCATAGTTGAATTGTTATAGGTTCATAGTCCACAACTTTATGATTCTTCGAACTGAAAAATGGCCTTTTGGAAATATGATTTCATCTCTTTTGCTCTTTGTACAAATATTATATCATGTAGCGTAACACACCCAAATTTAGCACAATCCATGTGAAGTACCAGGCAAAGCACAGCAGACCTAAAACTTTGAAGCCTAGGTGTTGCATTGATAACTAGGCATCATCACCACCACCACCATTACATCAATGATCATTATTGTCACTTGGTAAAATGATGGGGTAATAGCATATAAGGGCAATTTTGGGGTTTAATATCAATAAAAGTAATATATTTAAAAATTTTCAAAAATAGATTAATTTTTAAAAATAATATCAATAAAAATGCAAAATTACTGTTCATTTTATTCTTCCCATTTGTTTAACAGAGCCGCCGCCCACCGCCACCCGCCACCGCTGCCACCTCCAGCAACGTTGCCGAAGGTAGAGGTGGCAGTGGCGGCACTGGTGGTCATTCCTCTACCCGTCGCCACCGCCACTTGTCTCCACCCATCTCCAGCAACGTTGCCGGAGGCAGAGGTGGCAGCGTTGGACAGAGAAACCACCAGCACCGCTGCCACCACCTCTGCCTCCACCCATCTCTAGCAACGTTGCCAGAAGCGGAGGCGGAGGTGGCGGCGTTGGATAGAGAAACCATCAGTGCCACCACCGCCACCTCTGCCTTCGGCCACCTCCGGCAATGTTGCCAAAGGCGGTGGCGGCGGTGGATGGTGGTGGCGAACGGTGACAAATGGCGGCGGGCGACGGCTCTGTTAAACAAATGGGAAGAAGATGAACAGTGTTTTTGCCCTTTGTAAATATTATTTTTAAAAAGTTAACTTATTTTTAAAATTTTTTTAAATATATTACTTTAAATTGATATTAAATTAAATCCCAAAAGTTGCCCTTATATGCTATGATTTTGAAAGAAATCACATTTTTATGCAAAATACACAGCAAACATGGGGTTTTTACCAGGAAAACCACTTTGCTAGTTCATTTTTCAATCTAATCAGATGAAAACGATAGGCCGACAAAAGGTAGAACCATTTAGTTTTATTGCGAAGAAGATGAAACCTAACAGTAGATTCCTAACCTCACAGTTAATATATGCTGTACACCCAAGTTCTTTCTCTATTAGTTTCAAGCTTGTATCAGTTATTAGTTACATAAGACCAGAAAAAGAGTGAAATGAAAACGAAATCTAGATGACCTAAAAACATCCATACATGCAGAATTACGGCATGTAACCAAGTCTGGGCACTGGGCTACATATTTAGGGGAAAAGACTAGAAAAGACCAGAAGCAACTGCTTCATGTTAAGAGTATTAAACATACAACAAGGAAAAATCCTAAATCATCTTCAAGCCATAGTTTTAGGTGGGAAGTAAAAGGATCCCACGAATTGGAATAAGGTTGAGGTAAAAACAACCAGCCATTCCTTCAACAGAACTCTACATTGACCAAACCTCCTCTACTTGTGCCTGGAGACATTAAAAGGAGAAATTTAATTATTAAGGAATAACTGCTTTCAATTAGGCACATACCGGGTTTAACTCAATGATTCACATATGCAAAAATAAAACTAAATACCAATGAAATTGTAAAAGCTATCTTAGTTGGATAACAATGAAAAAATTTCTAAATTCCAGATCTAAATGCAAGCAATATTCTGAAAATCGTAATTGTATAGTAAATCGTAGAGAAAAATGAATCAAATCGTTAATTGTATCATAAATCGTAAGATTATTTCTAACTTTTAAAAAGTAGTCAAAATTAAATATAGATATGATAAAAGGCAAAATATATACATATAGAAACTTGATTCTACCCTATTTTTAATCCATATCTACCATGCATGTACCTAAATCAATAGAATTTACAGCTTAACAATAGAAGTCTAATATGATATATTCAAATTGACCTGAAAGTCAAATAATCCACAAACAATGATTCTTTATCCTACATATGATGGAAAATAAATTCAATGTGTGGTCTTAAATAACCTAAATAAGCCAATTTCTAGTAACGTCCTTAAAACAAGTCACCCTTGTCAAAACTAAATATTAACAAAATAAAACAATAAAGTAGAGAATTAACTCTTAATTGAATTAATTTGAATCGCAAGAATCGTATAAATCAAAATATTTATGATTCAAGTTGTAGGATTCAAACAAAAATCACAAGATTTTTGCAGAAAAGGATTTGGACATAAGATTCAAATCGAAACCATTGTAAATCATAAGATTTTAACTTAACATTGAACACAGGTATAGATAAATAGATAGATAGATAGATACTTGACCCAGTAAATACTTGATGGAAATGTAGTAGTGCCCTAATATGAAGTCTTAGGGCACTACAAGAAGAAGGTTGCCTACTGGAGAAAAAAATGCTGAAGGTTAGGTCCATATCCAGTCTACCCCTCCCAAGAAACAAGGCCTCTTATTAAGAGAATTTGAAACAATGAAAGGAATACTAAACATGGCCCAAAGAGTAAGCATAAGCCCAGTCTTAAGAAGACTAACCCAAATTATCGAACCCTTTAGAAGCAGAACAGAATCAGTCCCTATGGAATTCATCTTGTAATTCCTTCCCTTTTTGTTCTAATGAAAGTTACCACCTTCTCAAAAAATAAAAAATAACTCTGTTCTGTTCAACATGCCAATGTGATGGATGGTCAAGATCATCTTATCAGATTGATTTTTGTCCCGAGATATTCACAGATCCCAATAGAACAAACTTTGTCCCTAAACTGTTTTCTAAATAAATGTTCCTTCTACATAAAGTTGATACACTAAAAACAGGTTATGGTATGGACAGTTAAGAATTATTACATTATAAATATTTATCAGAAAAAAAAAAGCTATTATATTATGGGGCTGGGCAACAATAGGTATTGCATTACAAAGAATACATGTTTTCCATGTCGTTTCCAAAAATAACCACATGGAAATGCTGCATAACCCGAGTGGCACAATGCCTTGAAAACTGGTGTTTAGCACAGCTCATTTAAGTTATAATGCACAAAAACTATACACCAGAAGAATGTAAGACGGTATTAAAAAAGCAAACAAACGACTTACCTAAAATACTAACAACAATCTTGATGAAGGGGGTGAATAACCTCTAAAATCTGTTTAGGTGGACCCTCAAGGTAGGATCTCTATACAGCCATTTTCATTTCTATTTTCTGGTGAGGATCATAACCTACAAGTTTGAAATCAGTAGCCACAAAACTATCTATGTCTTTCTTGTGAGGATTGATCTTCAGAATCTGTATTGCAATGGTAAGAGGATACAAAAGAATAATGAGAAATCAAAGAAAAAGGAAATTAAACAGCTTTAAAATAATAGACCAAAGAAAAAACAACTAATTTCTTTTTACTCCAGCATACTTACTGGGAAAGGTTTAGGAAGTTTTTGAAGCTGTTCCTGCAAAGGTCTAACATGAGTTCTATAAACATGAGCATCCCCAATAACATGGATGAAATCACCAGGAATAAGATCTGTATAGGAGAAAAGAGAAACAACATAACCTGTTAAAGAGAGAGATGATAGTAGTATGATGTCATGCAGAAAACAAACCACTACCAAGAAAAGTGGAAAGAAAACGTAACCCCAAGTACAGTGAGAAATTAAAAAAAAAAAAGTAAATACCATATCCTCATTGTTTCCATACTTTTTTGCAACTATATTTATATATCCCAACTGATAATATTTTATAACAAAAAAGGATATGCATAAAATTATTGTTTTAATAGTCCACTGCCCACTTCAGGAAAGTAGGACCCCCCAGGATTGCACATCTATGATTTGTTGAAGTATTGGTGTCCACCAAATCTATGAAGTGGATTCCTCCAGTATATGATACCAGGATGCAGTGCAAAATTACACTTTCTGGAAATCAGTGGACAAGATGGTTGAACTGTTCAGAGACCAGAGAGGATCAGTTCCACACACATATGAGAGAGAGAGAGAGAGAGAAAGAGAGAGAGACCATCCACATGAAACCCCTACACCATTTGATGTTCACATACAGAACCAAATGACAGGGGTAGAGCTCTCCAATAAAAGCTCCAAAGGAAAACTTCTTAGAGAGGAAAATGCCATGAGAAGTTTTACATTTGTGAGGAAAAGTGCAATCAGGTCTAATGAATATTGGCCAAGAAGGTATCATCTACAGGTAGACTATCTTGCCTCCCAAATAAACCCATTTCTTTTTTTAATCTTTTGCCATTCTATATGAAAATAACATATTGTTCATAACACAGTATGAGCTCTCAAAATCAAATACCACACCATGAGTAGCCACCTTATGATTTCTGAAAACATTATAAAACAACATTTCCATTAAAACTTTAACCAGTGCAAATAGATCCCCATAGTACACAGAACCAAAAACATTTTATGTTGACACCTAATCAAATGCCAATGTATTCCATCAAGATATTATGCATCCAAAGTGCCCATTTGCACAAAGCTGGACTGTAGTTGCAGGGACAGGTGCATACCACAAACATGAGCAATCATGCATGTTAGGAGAGCATAAGATGCAATGTTAAATGGCACACCAAGACCCATGTCAGCAGAGCGCTGATACATTTGACAAGATAACTCCCCATTGACCACATAAAACTGCAAAAAAGAAATAATAATAATAATAACACATATAATTCAATAGGAATAGAAATAGCAAAGACACAAAAAATGAAGCAACCCATTGCTAACCTGTGCAAACATGTGGCAAGGTGGAAGTGCCATCAATTTAAGATCAGAAGGATTCCAAGCTGAGAGAATAATTCGCCGGTCATCTGGCTTATTCTTGATTTTGTCGATAACATCCAACAACTGATCAAATCCTTGACCACTGTAGTCAGCATGCATGTTGGTATACCTGCAAAATAGAGCCCCAGATGAGGAACCATCCAAATGGAATGAATGAAGGTTAAACAGAACAAATGGCATGTTAAACAGGAGGCACATGAAATTCATGTGTATTACTCACAGGATTCCATTTTTAACCCATCCTTTTTACCCTTCCCCCTTTGTGCTCCCATTTTTTTCAGTCCTCTGCACTCCCATGTTTTAGGAGCTTTCTGTGCTCCCCCTTAAATTTGCATCATTCCCCTATTTTTCTAGGTTATATACATCCATATCCTAAATGTTAGAATAATCATAAAACTGTTAATTTAATCCTTTAACAAACCAAAAAAAACCTTAGTTCAACCTTTTAACCTTCTTCTCTTCGGACTTTCAGTGGATCTTGTTATTGTTTGTTTCTTTATTTTTTTTATCAACCTCTTGAGTCTTGATTTAACTGAAAATACTATTAGAGCTTCATCTTCCTCTTATATTCCATTTCTTCTTAAAGGGCTTCAATTGCTTCAGGAAACCTGCTTTAATCTCAAGGTTGCTTCATATGTTGCCTTCTGTTTATAGATATGATTGTGGTTGCATGTTTGTTAGCAATAGTGACTGCATGAGATGTCATTTGCATCTTATTGAACGAGTCTTCTCCTATGATAGGCTAAGAGCACCTTCATGCAATTACATTTATGTATCACATGATTCACATTTATTACTTTGTCCTCATTCCATAGAAGTACTTTTGGATTACTAAACCTAGATCTGTAGGTGTAATGTTGTGATCCGTTTGTCCCACGTTGGTAGTATAGGATGCTAATGTGAGAAGTGAGATATCCCACAACGGTGGTAAGGGATACTGTTATGTGGTATATATGTGCTTGGGTTCCCTCTAACAGGTGAGTTCTCCTAAGGCATGTATCAAATGGTATCAGAGCCTACACCATGCCTCCCAGTTGCAGTCGTGCAGCGCAGGTGGTAACGTCGGTATTGCAGTGTTTGGCTGGGACTAGGTGGACTAGTGCAAAGCCAACTTGCGTGGGCACCGGGACTGCAAAGAGCGTGGTGGGATGTTGTGATCCATTTGTCCCACGTTAGTAGTATGGGATGCTAATGTGAGATATCCCACATCGGTAGTATGGGGTACTGTTGTTGTGTGGTATATATGTGCTTGGGTTCCCTCCCTCTAACAGCTAGCTTTTAGGGGCGAATTCTCCCAAGGCACATATCAAATGGCAGATACCAGAATATGACCACCTTCAATTCTTATATAGTTGCTTCCCACTGCCTTATTAGTGGCCTTCTTTCCTGGTGGAGAAGAGAGAACCTGCTACCACCAACTCTTTTCCTAGTGGCGACAGTTTATTTAGCAGTAATAAGGAAAGATACTAGAGGAAGAAATGGTTGAGGGAATCGCAAGAATAGACTTACAGAGATTAAGTGATTAATTAAAGTTGCATTCATCTTTACATGTCTGGTCTTGTGGACAGAAGAGAGGAAAAAAATACTTGTTATAATGTGAAAGAACTGATGCATAAAACCCTTCTTATAGGCAATTAGCAAACCACCCTTCTGGAGTTTTGGAAATCATCTTGTGGTGTTATCCAATTACTTATACTTAAAGAGATTGGAAACCAAACAACAATCTCATGTTTCAACAAATGATGCCAATCCTAATAGAGAAGTGGGGATATAGATTATCTGATAAGATAGTAGATGTTCCTTTACCTGGCACCATGGTGTCTCCACTGAAAGCCATATATAGGCCCCAAGTCACCCTCTTCCCTATCTGTCAAACCAATGCTGTGAGAGAATGCAAAACCTGTCAGTTAGATCTGCATTTATGACATTAAGAACTTAAGATGTCCTATAGCTCAGCATCAAAATAAGAAGTTAGTCACATTTGAATCAATGAAGTAGTTCTTAAATTTCCTAAAACAAGGTTTAATAGCCTAGTATTTTTGCCTGTCAAGGTAGTCTCTGGACGCATTGCCATCCCAAATGTGAATGCCTTTTTCCTGTAAAACCTGTTGGCAATAAAATATTTCAGTAGATGATCCACTGCCATCACAAACTAGAAGTTAAACTAAAGGAGCTTCCCTGAATAAATGCTCATATAATGGAATGTTGTCAAGTGATGTAACCATAATTAACCTCCCCACCATTATAAGAGTCGGAAGAAAAGGCAGAAAAAAGAAGCTAGAAATGATGGAGAAGATGTATAGAGGATCGTGAAATTGAAGAAATTCGTTAACTAGTTTTATCATAAGTACAGAAATGCCAAAAATAATAAGACATTTTAACTTTAATGGCATAAATATAGTAGTAATCCCTCTATTGACATAACATTAAAAATACAAACCTTTTTGTGAGGTCTGAGTGCATGTGGCAGTGCGTACATACCAAAAAGGCAAACCATGGTTTAAAATGCCCATATATTTCCTAATATTTACATGATGTATTTCCATTTCCATGGCTACCGATAGTATTACTGGAATTGAAACATTCTCCAGTGAAAACCACCAGTGCTATGTGGAGTACAAAAACAACATTGTAGACATGTGGAGTAATGATGTCCAACTAATGGACATGATTACCACTTTAAACCAGCTTAAAATTCCTTTTAGACATGAAATTAAATCTTAGCTTTTGTTTTCATAATAGATTATTTGGTTGATCTATTGGAATAATTTGCACTTTCTTTGAGTTTAAGGTTTGCTTGAACTCACTCTATCATGTAGTCTTGACTCCTAAAGTTTACAGAACTTTGCATAGTATTATTTTGTCGTTAACCTTAGCTTCTTAGCTTTGTTCGATGGCTTGGAACAAGATAATAATCTATCTAGAAAGGTGTACCTATGCTTATTTTATCATTTCATAAAATATCATTCTATATTTTCACATATTTTACGATGTTTCCAGCATGTCTATAACTTTTACAATATTTGTAACATGTTTCCTATATTGGTCCTAACCTGTAAATTTTGCCCGTCAACTATTAGTCATGTTTTAACACATTCTGAGAAAAATTCTGAGGTAGTAAACTGGTGCACTATGATACAATAGTTATATTTTCCATGTTTGGGGTGATGATAGGGAAACCAGAGAAATAAAAATATCATCTAAGCAGCTATTTGATTTGCCAGGACAACTAGAAACTTCATCAGAGAATAGGGAAGCACTAGGAATAAAAAAGCCGCTTAGCAGCATGGAAATGTCAACCTGAAACCCAAGAATATTTAATACTTAAAAATACCTCTAAGGAAAAGAAAGGAGATCCCAAACCTGATAAATATTTAATATTTAAGAATATTTCCTTTATTGACTCAGCTATATATAAAACTAACTGATAAGATGCATAAAGCGCATATCAAAGAAACCGCGTTCACTGAGATTTCCAAAACCAAACAAATCATTAGCCTCCATAAGCTTCACTTTACCTTATAGCTTTAGAAAGGAAAAAAAAAAACAAGCATTTTTTTTTAGAAAAGGTAGAAAACAATGTATAAAAAGCACAGATATCTAATAAGGTGTTTAACTACAATTTACCTTTGCATTTGTTGAACCACTGATGAACCACAAAAGTTCTTCAACAACACCACGCCAGAACACTTTCTGTGGAACCAAAAGACAACCATAAATTACAACCTAGAAAACATAAATCCGTACAAAATTCCTTATTAGATATCTCAATTAGATCATGATGACCAGAAAAAGGAAAGAAAAGTTCAACAACAGGCATGTCAGTAATAATCATTCGCTCATGATAAGACACATGGATAAGGGATAAATGGCCAAATAATCATGTACTCAGCAGAAATGATTACTGCAACATGTTGTGATTAGAAAAAATCTTTAGGAAGATAGCTCATACCTTAGTAGTAAGAAGCGGAAAAGATTTGCGCAAATTAAAATGCATCTGCAGAACAGGAAGACAATAATGTTGAATGAATGGGCCTAGTAGAAATTTGATGTGCACACATAAAACACAACTAGAGAAAACACCAAGAGCAAAGTAAAACTAAACCAAAATAAATAGACTAGGTTTACCATTACCTGGCAGCCAAATTTTGAAAGGGTACCAGTCCCGGTTCTGTCATCCTTTTGGTTGCCATTTGAGATGATATCTTCAACCAGTCTCAGATACATATACTCTTCATGTCTCTCAAAAATCATCTTTGGCAGAAAGGAGAATTTCTCTATCTCAAATTTAGTATTGTTTGAATTACCATCAAACATCCCCCCATTGTCTTGATAAAGATATTCTGCTGCAGATCTCCTCACACGAACATAAGTAACAAAAGAACATCGAATGTTGTTTTCTATCAATGGGAAGGATGAGTACCATGGCTGAAACACTGATAACTCAATAGGAGGGATGAATGTGTCACATTCGAAGCTTGTCTCAATTTCTGTGATGTGGATGGCATCACATTCAGGTGCATTAAGAGATTCCCTGTATTGAAGAACATAAATATCTATCTTAAAGAACAAACCTTATCTTAGGACAAGTAACAAAATACTGACCTTAGTATCTGGCCACCACCTATAACAAACACTTTCTCTATCGATAGACAATAAGGAGAAGATGCTAACAATTCCAAAGCCGAAGACATGCTTCCACATATTACAACATTCTCAGCAGTTGCAATATCAAAGCTTCCAGACCGAGTCAGTACAACATTAAGGCGACCAGGTAAAGGTCGATGCTCAGGAGGAATACCTTCCCATGTTTTCCTACCCATTATCACTGCATTCTTTTTCGCAGGATCTGATGTACCCATTGTGACCTCCCTGAAAAATTTAAGGTCAGAAGGCAATCTCCAGGGCAGTTTCCCATCCTTTCCAATGCCCATACTTTTAGTTGCAGCCACAACAACTTGGAAAGTTCTCTTGGGATCAGGCTGTATACTTGCATTTCCATTTGGAACGTTCATGATGGTCTCACCAGCCATAACTGAAAATTTAAGACAGGACCTATAATTTGCAATCGAGTATAAAGCCCCAAATAGCTGTGAAGATGATAAGTCAGAAACAAAGCTACTTCTGCGAAAGCGTGATAGAGCCTGAAATAGGTAAAAGAACCAGACTGCAATACTCAAAATGGAGAAACACATCTACAAGGAGGTCTAATATGCAAATCTAAGAAAAATAATAAAATGAAGTAACCCGTCAAAGGACAATAAGCCAATATGTAGATTTGTAATAGGTCAATAAAGTTACACTTAACACATGATGTAGAGAATGTTGGAGAAACCTTGCAAAAAGGCATGTTCTCTGAGCACAAAATCCCCAATTTCAACAACTGGACATCTGTTGAAGGCTAACCAGATTCACTTGGTGATTCATAAAACAGGATAATAGAATTCCTAACAAATTAAAGTTCAAAATAAATCTAAGATTTAAACTACTGAATGAAAGGCTCCAGCATCAATGTTAAAACCTCTAGAACTCCTGGAAGGATGCCGCATACACCAAGCACAACCATGTGAATCTGTAAACTCTTCATAAGTTATAAAAAGAAAATAGCATGTTTCACATATAGACCCTAGAATGATTTTCACAAGGTCTATCTAGAATATCGAACCCAATCTTAGTATCTTACCAATTAACAGATTACTCAAAAAACAGACATGCAATAATTTATATTTATTATGTAAACCTCAAACACTATTGAAACCTGGTTTACCAATTTGTGTTCTCATGTGGATCAAATAATTTTTCTATATGATAAGATTTTGTCTTCTTTATGTTACCACTAGTGAAAAAAAAAAGGGCTAGGTTCGAATAAAGAGGTCTTAAAAGAATTTTCGATGGAAATGTACTGGCCTTCAAATTGATGATAGGAATTCAACTTTCTGAATACATATACAGATACAACAGCAATCAACAAAAGGCAAATTAAAACAGAAATGTCTTATAAATACTTTTAGAACAAAAGAAACAAAATCAAGATAGGATATAGCTGATCAACAAAAAAAAAAGAATATAATAGAGTATGCTACATTTTTTTCCATTGAATGTGCATTTGCAAGTTTTTAATTTTATATACGACTGTAGAAGCTTTTGAATAAAAAGAAATGCCAAACTATAAATTGGTTGGTGTGGCAAAGAAACTAGCCATCATTGGTAAGCTGAAATGGGTTATATGAAAATTGAAAAGACAAAGTTTGTAGCTAACAAAATGGATTTTGTAGTCATCATATCATGGACTTGGAAAATAGAAATGTCTCCTCAGTAAACATGATAATCCTCTAGAGTCTCATGTCAAAATTTGTATACATGAACTCAAAATCAGATCAAGGGTCCAAAAGGGTACTTGACCGTAACAAGATTAGAAGTATATATTAGTGTGTAGCAGCCTCAAAACATTATGCACCAGAGAGCACAAATCTTCCACCCTGATCAAATAGAATAAAGGACCAACAGCAGTCATGGCTGGCCATCTACTCTATAAGCAAGTAGATACAATTCTTACCCTGGTACACCCATCCCCGACACAAGGAGTCTCTGCACCTCATGCTAGACTATCAACTAGGATGTTGAAAAATTTGGATGTTGGAATCAATCTAAATGATCTGATCAACCTGGTTACCAAACAGTCTCTTTCCAATTCTCTTTAAAGCTGAGTAGCCACTAGCAACTAGCACACTCCAAATCGTTGTGACATGGACATTATTTCAGCCATGGCATTTCCTTCCCCTATTGGGACTGACATTCCAAAATGTCATAACTTTCCATGTGTTGGTTCATAGAATCAAGACCTACCACAAAACTGGTTGCACCTGAGACATTAAATCTGTCAAAAATCAGTTCGAGCATACCATCACACATAAGGACTTTATCCAATATTGGTCCCAACTATCTGGTCTTGGGAGGGGTGGACTAGAAATGAACCTATCGTTTGACATATTTTACACAAAGTGACCACTCTTATGCTCAAATTTACATTCTCACGCTTTTTAGCCCAGGATTTTACCATTAGGGCCAAGAAATATCTCATTCTATTCATTTCTGCTCTCATTTTTCGAATAGGCCTTCTCGTATGTAGAATTAGAAAGACTAATGGTGATTCTTGATCATCTGGACACACATAAAAAAAAAAGGCAAGTTGCGTGCAACAATAACTTGTTTAATCAAAGCTAACATGACAATAAAGTGACAGCCAAAATTTTCCACTACACTTCGCCAATTACCTAGCCGGCATTTTTAACTAAAATTTCCACTCAATAGTGAAAGACAGTATTTCCGTCCTGACCTCAAAGTAACGCAGACATGGAGGGTACCAGTGTTAAACAAAAATCAGGGATGGAGAGAGGAAGGATTATCCGATTATAACCAGAAATAAGGATTCCAAGGAGATATCAAACATTTTGAGAGAGAGAGAGAGAGCAAAACCGAACTACTAAAAAATAATAGAACCAAGTAATTGACAACAAACGGTAAGAGGTTTTGATTTGGTAAAGCTCTTCCGGTAACATGTCTTTCCGGCAGCATAGTTTTTCCCACACATGCAAGATTTCCCATGTGAATTTTTCAGACAAATGAAAAAGCGTACAACTATTGTTTCACGTTTTGCAGACGCATTCAACAATAAATCCTGGGAATAAATAGCAGAGGAGATTTCCAATGTGAACCAGTACCAGAAAATAGAAACAAGTTTCTCGATTTTCGAGTATTTTGAGACACTCACCGAAAATTCTACTGAAAATAAATAGCGAGAAAAGAAACACATAACGATGCCGTAAAATTAACTACGAGCAATTGACTATAATATGTTGTTTCATATTCTTCAAAACACTTATCAAAGCAGATATTGCAATAATAATAATAATAATAATAATAATAATAACAACAACAACAAGCCCACTGACCTCAAATCTATGAGAAAACCAGAGAAAATTTTCGATCGTTAGAACCTGAATAATTCAGTTTTCCTTCTCAGTTTAGTTTCTTCTTCTACTACTTTCAGGGTAAACGCCGAATTAGAGAAAAAATAGGGTTTAAATGGAGCTTAAAGTGCTCTAATTGTTCAACATTTTCCGTGAAATCGAAGGAAGGGGGAGAAAAACGAGCAGCAAAAGTCTACTTCGTCAACTTAAGAGAGTAAAAGGGGAGAGTAGAGAAAGGGTTTCAAAGCACCCAAGGTAGGAGGCGGAAAATCCAAATGCACGTTTAACGCGGGCCGCGGGGTACCGCCAATGCATATACATAAAGGAACATAAAAGGGACTTATTTACCTAATTACCCCTGAATGTGTAGGCCTATTGTTGACAATTGCCGGAGCTTCAATCTACGATCTCATGCCCCTTCAATTTCTGAAATGTCCGATCCATCCTAAAGGATCTAAACCACTTCTTTGTCATATCCTACCTCTCCACACCATGATTCCATGAATTGGAGAGTGGAGTGACGGAGAGAACTGGTGCTGATTAAGGCTGACAACGGATTTCGAATGTTCGAAACCTGATCCAACATCCGATTCAATTAACCCGAATTTGGATGTTAAACCTACATTGAATATTATGATTAATTATCCAGATTTAATGCGGATTTAAACCTTATTTTTGGGCTGGGTTGAATGGTAGAAAGGGATTCCAATATCCATCCACCATCCTCTCTTTTCAACCCTATCGGCCTATCTCACCATTTGACTAACCTAAAATGCAATTTTGATCGGCTGATCCATGACCTATAAAGGTATATAGCTTGGGACGATGCTATGTAACGTCATCAAACACATAAAGTTTAAACGATTTGATAAATTGAAAATCAAAATGTTATTTTAGAGAGAGAGAAATAATTCAGGCATTTAGACAATTCTTTTTCTTTGTGTAAGAAAGGGTATTTCAGTCATACAAATAAAAATTGAGAAAGGCGCGAAGAAACCTACCAGCTACTCAGATAGCAGCTACAAATACAACGATACAAACGGCCAAAAGGAAGTTTCAAGTTTCAACACGCAAGCTGCAGCAGAAATTCCAAATTCACAAAGATTAAGACAGGGCCTACACCTAAAGCTGTGTGCTCACAAAACGGAGGTGTAATCGCCATCAACTGGTGCCCCTTGTTCAATCGAAGCCGTCCACGTATCCTGTTCTATTCCGTGGTAGTTAATCGGTACCACTCGCCAATTGTTTCATTTCTTTCCTTCACTTTTCCTTTTCTTTTCTTTTTTTTATTTTTTGGATTTATGCACCTCGTAACCGTCGATTGGAAGATAAAAGAATAATTTTCTTTACAAGGAATGGGTTGGACTATGACCATCCAAAAACACATCACTGTCATCGACGAATTTCCGCGTAAGCATTACTTACCGACAATCTCGTGTTGGACCCTTTTTTTTTCTCTCTTTTATTTATTAGGCAATTTTATAAGGAAAATTTTCACTTTACCCTCAACTTTGGAGGTAATGTCAAATTAGTACTAAACTTTTAGATTTGTAAATGTAGTGCTTAAATTTTGAAAAAGTGTTAAATTGGTCCCTGTCTTTATTGAAAATGTCAAAACTACCATTCAAAATAAAACACTGTTTATTGTCTTTTATTTTGAGACTGAACCAATTATCTTCAAATAAAAAGAGAAAAAAACATAAAATGTGGTAGAGAAAAATAATAACCGAAAGTAAAGAAATAATTAAAAAAGAACGTGTTTCAAATTTAAAGGTAGAAGACAAATGAACAATGTCTTTTCTGAAGGGTGATTTTTTCATTTTTGATAAATAACTAAGGATCAATTAACGATAAGAACCAACTTGATTCTTTTGAAAATTTAGATAGTACAGCGACATATCTAAATGGGTGGTTTCGCTATTTTCCCTTTTTTTAGTCATTAACAAATCCCCATTGATATAAGCCACGATGAAGGCCGGGGTCCACTATTCCATTCAAGCCTAAAAGATCAGTTATAACCCATACGCTAAAGTGGTGTCACCCGTCGATCAAATCAGATGGATGAGATAGAGAGAGAGAATCTTATCCAAACTCTTTAGCACTCTACTGGACTACTCCCCAAGCCCACAGGCCATGGGCCCAGCCACCCACACCACAAACAGACACCTTTAAAAAGTTTTAAACCGAAACAGAAACTGGTTGAGATTGGTCTCATCCAATCCAATCCAATAATATTCTTTATACACAGGCCTCAGTTAGTCAATTAGGTGGGACTGGGAGTGTGAATGCTTGAAATAGACCCACTGGCCAGTGGCCACTGCTCCCCATCCCATCAGCCAATTAGCCAATTAGCCCATTAGCCAATGGCCCAATGCTTTTGGCTTACCCACGCTTCTCATCACACGTGTTATTCTCCAATTGGAAATACTTGGTTCGTTATCAACTCTTGTTAACATTGGTCATGCCAACATCCAAATAGGTTTTTCCTTGCTACTAAGAAATACAGATTATGTAGACCTTTCTTGTGGAAATTCTTTATCTATCTGGGACACACACATTTCTTTTACTCCTTTACTTTTGCCATTCTTTTTTTTTACTTAGACTTCGGGGTTAAGATTTTAAAATCCAATTTCAGCATCTCTTGATGGATTACGACTTTCATTTCAAACTTTGTTCAATGAACCAAGCTCCCTAAAAGAATCAAACCATGATTTACTTGTTGGCGGGTCCATATCTTGTAACAGGATTGTTCATGGGACAAATCTCAACCTGGGTCTCCTCTCTCCTGCGAGTATATTCTGGGAAGTATGGACACACAGAGTTAAAAGTCGTTTTTGTCAATGTACGTAATAGTTAAATCAAAATTTGCAAATAGAAAGCCTCGAAATTTATACAGGTTTCTCTATCTTTTCCTTCTATTTTTTTTTTACCTTTTCTTTCAAAACAAACCAAGTCAAGATCACCGATTAGAGACTTAGAAAAGCAAGCATTTATTCCACGGATGCAGTATCCATCATAATAGTAATAAATAAGCCACCATTATCCAATACTGATCCTCCGGGTCTTGGGAGGGCTGGACCCCAACAATTTGGTTTTTTCTTTTTCCTCTGACTTGAACCCATTTTCTCACCCTCAGAGATTTTACCATTGTATCAAACGATGACCCTTAGTTCTTATATTGAAAATGAATTCTTTAAATTAACATAAAATCCTAGAAATTTATTTTAATTCAAATGAATTCTTTTTTTTTCTTGTTTTATTATCATTTTGACTAACCTGTTACATTCAAATTCTTAAGGCTGTATTTGGTTTGAAGGAAAAGTAGGGAAAGGAAAAGAAAGGTAAAGAAATTTTTACAAAACTTATATAAGTTTTCTTATCTTTCCCTTCCTTTTCCTTCAGACCAAACTAGCCTAAACGTACACAATCTTGGGGACATCATTATAAAGCAATTGATGTAATCTTAAGATGTATAGGACAGGTGGCATATCATGACACAATTTCTAATTCCACACTACTGTTCACTCGCCTGTAAAAGGAGAAAGTAAGCTGAGTTTGAATGCTTACGACCCTAACTATCCATTGGCATTGACCACACCACACACATCATTCTATTCCAACTAAATAGGGAATAATGAAGAAATATTACTTCTTTCTACTTGTGTTGCTTTTGCATGCATGCTATTATTAGAATTGCTATTGCTTTCTCATGTTGAGTAAATTGAGATTGGGCAGACCCATGTGGAAGCACCTATGTTGAAATTAGCAGGTTATATTGGCATTAATAACTGTGTCAATGGATCGGTTTTGGATTAGATTTTGTCCAGTCAAAAATTAATTTAGATGGATTGAACAGCCCAACATTATATATTGAATTGGACCAATTCGGTTCAAAATATTTATTAGATTGGATTGGACCTGATCCATCCACAATAAATTTATATTGGATTGGATTGGATTAAGCCAATATCTGGTCCATTGATATAATATAAGAATATAAGTGTTAATGAATTGGGTTTGGGTTAAACCAATCTAAATCAAAATGAAATTGAACAAATTAGATGGTCCAAACATTAAATTGAACTGGTCCACAATGGTCCAAAATATTCATTGGATTGGATTGGACCTGATCCATTTATAATGGACTCACATTGGGCTGGACTGGATTGGATTGGACCAAATCCAGTCCAATTGGCACCCCACATTAGTGTCTGTGCATTTTCTCTCATAAATCAAACCAGACAAACTCTTTAGGGTATAAGTCAGAATTTCCATCTCCGTTGCAGAAGGAAATGAAAACTTGTACATGATAATCTTCCTCACAACCTGTACATGCTATGCAGTGGAATGCTTGGAACCAAGGTTCAAAATATTATCATGTATCAGCCTGTATTGATCAATGTATATCGTATCAGTACGAAATATTAAGAGTTTCGGGGTAAGACTTGTTTCAGGGGGTAGCTAGGCCTTTAACTGACCCCCTGAACATATATATTTAAAAAAAAAAAACTAAAAATATATATAAAAAAAATGTGTTGATATGAAGTCTGATACACTCAATTTGACGTATTGGACTGTATCGATACATTGAACCTTGATTGAAAGTAGGGAAGAAGGGATTAGGTTCACTGGTTAAGTGATAAATCTGCATTGACTAACTCTATCAATTTAGGATTGGGTCAGACTTAATTGGGTGTAGTTCAGGCTGCGCTGCTTTAATTGACTATAGCATGGTTTTTTAAATCAGAACGAACCAGAAAGTCAAGCCGATTGACCCAGGAAGCGGTCATAGTTCTGGGTGCAGTTTTAGACTCCAAAACCATCTGACCAGACATTATAGTCGGACTGTTTCACCCGGAAAACCAGTGGTCAAAACGATTAAATTTCTGATCCAGTTATGGCCTATAAGGTGTACTATGTGTGTGACAGAAACCCTATTTCATTTAGTTGGGTAATATGGAAATCAAAGACCCTACATCTAATCCAACCCTTTGAAATCACACAAGGAAGGATTCTTGCGTCCTCATTCAAGGAACGAGAACAAACTTGCAAATTTCTGAAATACTCCATGAAATACATTCCTTTCATGGCAGTGTAGATCTCTTACACTAAAGCTTTACAATAAGGTGTGCACTTACCAATAAAAAGAAGATACCTTTCGGGCATTTAGGCTCAGTTTGGAAAGACTATAAGTGCAAATATGTACCGTATAACATGCAAAATAAAACAAAATATAAGATTTTGTATTCTACAAATTTGTATTTGTAGTTCTTCCAAGCTGAGCCTTGAAAATTGTCTTAAACATGATAGCGAAACTGGGAAATAGGTCTCCACCATCATAGATTTACCTTTTTTTTTTTTTGGTAATATCACAGAATGCTTAAAAGCTTTTCACCCAAAAAATAATGCCCTGTTTGGCGTGTTTTTTCATATGGTCTTTCAGCTGCTTACAAACCAGGAAGACTGAAAATCGGTCTATTCCCGTTTGGTACGCGGAAGATCTCGTCGCCAAAAAGACACGGGAAGCTCATTTTGGGCTGATTTCAAGAAGCTCCAAATGAAGTTTCTTGTATCTTCTGCATTTTAATCTCATGTGAAAAGACCCGAAATGATGCATGGAAAGATGCATGTTTATCAAACGGTCTTCGGACTGCCCACATCTTATGTCAAAAGCTTAATGCATCTATTGACTATCAAAATTACGAAAAGATCTTAAAAAGACTTGCTAAATGGGTCCTAAAAACAAGAAGAGAAAAGAAAAACCCAGTGACTTGGAACATATTTTTTAGATTGCAATTTCTTTTTAATTTTCAATAACATTTGAGCACACAAATGTCCAAATATTTTTAAAGTAGGATAATTGCTGAGACTTGAGAGTTACTAAAAGTAAAAACGGAAAAATATAAATTTGCCCATTGCAGATTTCTGATTTATACTATCACAATCATACTCTATACATCAATACACTCGCCCATAAATTAGCATCAATTCCGATCTTACACGGTACTTTCAGCATCAATTCCGATCTGACCCGGGCTGATCGGTCATTCTCCCAATTAAAAAAAGGTGAACCCGAGTCCGCTTCGACTATTGATAATTGCTATATGACTTCATTAGTCAAATCTTTACTTGCTTTTTTTTATATAACCCCGAAATGATTACTTTAGAAACAAATCCACCAAATTTTACCTCCCGCTAGTTTCTTTAAAGTCTTAAAGAGATTTTGGTCAACAAATATTTTTTTTATGGGTTTGGACGGTTGGACCCATCACTTCATCAATTCAATTCAATTGACTCAATGTATTATTTACCTATAAAGCTTCCTCCGTAAGACTTTTAACACCCCCTCCCCCCAGTTCCGGGCGGTGTTTGGATACAGGAGGCGGAAAACGGAAAGCAGTTTGTATTCCCTGAGATCAGCAGAAATAAGATGTGCAGATTTGTGTAAGAGCTTGATCTGCTTGAGTTTATTGGGACTTGGTCAAACATTAAAATGTCAATATATAATAAAAAATATTTGGAAAAATCAAATTCAGAAACAAGATTGGAAGGATTTAGGCTAACGATTCATATGAAAAGAAAATTTGAAAAGTAAAAATTTTGGCCAAAAGCAATTGTATAGGTATTTTGAACATTTTCATGTCATTTTTTTGAGAATTCTACTAAAGTCCAAACCTCAGGGGAAGTTTCATCAACACCTAAAAACTTGAGGGGAGGTTTAAAACCTTTAAACCTCTTAAGTAGGGGTGGATTTGAACTGAGCCGAGCTGAATAGTACGAGGCTTGAACTTGATTTGAATAAAAAATTTATAAGTATAAACTCGATTTGAGAAAAAATATTTTTATTTGATATTTAAAAATTTAAGAATTATAATATTTTTAATATATATATATATATATATATTAATTCTTGTAAAATTTATCATTTGTTCATTCCCAACCAAACGGTGGAAACAGCTTTCCATTTCAATCACAACCCAAATACTGGAACTGGATGGCATTCACTGGCAAATGAACTGAAGGTTTTGGAATCCCCACAGTAGAAGCAGAACCAGAACTAGCAAATACACACCGAGATAGCAACCCTAAATTCGCGACTAAGCGATCAACAATAACAACTAACAAGAGTCGACCCACATGTGTTATAGCCACGGGCACGGGGGCATTTGTGTCAATTACGATTGAACTGAAATAATTGACTAATGAAAATGAATGCAAGGTGGGGACAGAAAACCAACCTTGAATGCGAAGCGAGGGGTTAGTTGGTGCTGATTTCTCACGTGATCCTTTACTTGAGCATTAAGTCCAGACTAGAGTAGATGGTGACAGACTTAATTCTGCTTTGTCAATAGAGAATGAAATCGAAATAAAATTTTGGGATGGGCATATTATGGGATGATGATGGTCGTATTGACATCAGCCCAAGGCAATGGTTCTATCCTCAATAATCCGAATATCCGATATAGTTGATGATGATGATTGTTGCTTCAACGGTAAAACCATGTCCTCCATCTCTCTCTATCCAGACTCCAGTGGCAAATTGGCAATACCACTTTACTACTCTAGGTTGAAATTCTTATTCAGAGAACCCGCTCTCTCTGCATTGTAATTCTCTTCGGTAAAAAAAAGAACAAAAAAGGCAGAAAAAGCCATAAAGAAGCATTTTTTTCCTTTTTTTTTGGTATTCGGTGCTATGCACTATTAATAACTTCTCCTTACTTTTTTCCCAAAGTGCTGGTTGCGGAATTTGATTTCACATCAAGGTTAAAACAAACAGCTAATACACCAACGAGCCAACCCTTAGTTAAGGAGCATTCTTTTTTAGACTCCCAAATCCCAACACTTTTTCCTCTCTAAGCTTTGGCACAAGCCTCTCTTTCATACACAAAGGCAATTAAAAAGTAGATAAATCTATGATGACAGAAAGGCATGATACTCCATTAGCATTCTATAAATGAATAGATCATGCACATAGGATGATTTTACCCTGTTCCACTAATATTGTTAAAAAAATATTCTAACCAAAGAATACCACTTTAATCTATATTAAAATTGAGCTTCGAATTTCAAAATCAGTTGGATGGATGACATTAATCTATTACCATAGAATACCACTTTAACGACTTAGATTTTTAGGTTGACTTGGTACGTATTTTGGAAGGCTTTGATTTACTGTATTCCGGTATATTACTTGGACGGTTAAGATTAATTTATTGATTTTAGGAGACCACTTTGATGGCCCAGATCTTTGGGATGGGCTAGATCTAGATTAAACCTTTATGCAACATTTAGATGGACTAAATTAGAGGAAATTTTGATACACCATTTGGATGGATAAGATTCATTGACTCATTTTAGAAGGTCATTTTGATGGTCCATATCTTATATTTTACTTGACAAGTTATGTAAACCTAGGTTTTCTTTTAAGATATTTTCATGCCTTGTACTGCTGGAATTGATTGATATCTTTGTATGTTCTATTCAAGAAAAAAAACACTTTTATGCTACCTATGGTTGAGATTAATTCATTCATTGATCTTAACCTGGATATTCGGGATACATTTGGATGGACCAGATTAGATGGAATCTTGGTAAACTACTTGGATGGTTAAAATCAGTTGATTGATCTTAGGGTGCTATTGGATGGCTTAGATTTTAGGTGTTATTTTTTACTTTATTTAATGTTTCCATTTTTTACTCATACAGACCAGTGGGCAATTTAATAATTGTCTCATTGTAAACACTGGCAAGGGTGCACAAAACTTAAAGTTTTTTTCTTTTTTTTTTTGGATAAATGAACTTCAAGTTTTTTCTTTTATTCCTTTACAAAGTCAAATGTAAGTAGATAAGTTGGCATAGAAGATAAACATTCCAATGGATAACAGAATAATCCGATGCATACCAATTCTAATGCTTGCAAGTTACAACCAAGCGATGTACACAAATAATAAAATCAAAACTCCAGTCTCCTATTCCAGTGCCCAAGAAATTGTTACTTGTTAAGTTGTTGGTCCATAAATATGTAACTAGAGGCCCTCAAAGTACCTAATATGATCTTCAAATGTCTCCCCATGTCGGATTTTTGCCACAGTTCCATCATCTTGGACCTACAAAATATCCGCCCTCAGTTACAATGAGTAATTCTAGAAACATGTATCAGGATGATCAACAAGTCATCCCTGTATGCCCTTAACGTTGATTCATGATGCAAAAGATCATAGTGTCATGGATCACTAACAGGTAATTTCACAGAGTTAAGCGGGTTATTCTTATAGGAACCGAATGCACAACCTAGTAAAAGACAAAGAAAGTTTTTTTTTTTTTTGAGAAAGGTAAAGTATAGTATTCTGTACTAATGTCAAAATAAGGTCCTTTGTACAATGAGTGACTGTACATAACAACCATTAGGAACTAGACCTGTTCATGGAACGGGTAGCCCAACGGGCCGGGCCGGGCCCCAGATGGGCTTGAACATGAGTTTTAGCCTGCGGGCCTAAAAGCCCGACTCGATTTTTTTTTGGGCCGGGCTCGGGATTTGTCAAAAAAGCCCGGCCCGACTTTTATATAGTTTAAACTTTAAACCCTAAATTCCTAAACCGCCCAACCCTTTCCCATTTTCCTCTTCAGCAGCGTTCTATCTTCTCACTTTTCTTCTCATTCTCAGTTTCTCACTCGGACTCTCAGAATCGACGAACCCAGGCACACCGTTTTCACTCTGCAAACTCAGGCACTGGCGGCCAGCGCCACCAGAACTATGTCTCTTTCTCTCTCTCACCGTTTTCATCTTCTATCTTCTCACTTTCTCAGTTTTCATTCTCACTCTCAAACTCCTAGGAACCAGCGAACTCATGCACCATTCTCACTCTCAAAGGCAAACTTGGGCACCGGTGCCACTAGTGAACTAGGTCACCTCTCTCTCTCTCTCTCTCTCTCTCTCTCTCTCTCTCTCGTTAAGTTTGCCCTTAATCATCTTCATCTTTAGGTCGGGCTTCAGGCTCGGGCCCAGGCTTTTTATGAGGGCCGGGCTCGGGTCCAAGTTATAGGCCCGTTTGTCGGGCCGGGCTCAGGCTCAGGCCTGAAAATTTTCTGTTAATGAAGAGCAAAAGCCAAGCCCGGCCCAGTCCATGAACAGGTCTATTAGGAACCAACAAAGTTTGAAAAGCATAAACTATCTCTTGGATTAATGGTCATTTGTAACAAGGAACATTCCATTGTTAAGAAGAGTATTCAGCTTGTTTCTTGATTGTGGCCATTATGTATAATTGAACTATGTAGATGATTCATGTAACAAAGCAATTGATGAACCAATCTTTAGATGAGCAAGCCAATGTCTTTCCCAATACCCTATCCACATCTGCCATTTAACCCAGCAGCATAATATATGGCAAAAAAGGAATCCCCTCTTTGGAGAATTTTTTCTTAACATTCTGGAACTTCAGCAACTGAAATTATACAGAAGAGAACCCAGTATAGGGTGGTGCATGCAGCTAACTCCTCCATGGATGATGAGGAATGGGAATCATATAGATAAAGGGATATACATGATCTGTGCAGAAAACTATTTCCATGTATTATTATGCAACAAAAGTAGATACCAGATGGATTAGAAAATCTTTATCATCCTAAAGAGACCCTAACAATTCCATTAAGGATGCAGAAATTAGAAATGCCATACCCAATACTCAGGTGGTCGCATCTTCAGATTGTAGGTTGATGCCATGCTCATGCAATATGCCCCTGCATCATGCACTACCAACCCTGCACCCTGGAAAACAAAGGTTCCTGGTGAGAAACAAATGAGAAAAAAGAAACTACTACCTGTAGCCATACAAGGAAAAGAAAATGCATTAACATCACCTTATCTGGAGTATGGAGCTCTCTATCCTTTCCCAGGAAATCTGCTGATTCACACACAGGACCTACCACATCAAATGTGGAAACCTCTGCATTGGGTGGTGGGGGAGAAACCAACTCTATGTGCTATACTAGCCACAAATTCCAAAGCAACCCAGTGTTGCAGAAATCATTAGTACCATATAAATCAACAGAGATAGATCTTAGATTAGTTTGACACAAAATTTGCAGATAGAAAACAAATTCCAAAATGTGCTATACCAGCCACAAATTCCAAAGCAACCCAGTGTTGCAGAAATCATTAGTACCATATAAATCAACAGATATAGATCTTAGATTAGTTTGACACAAAATTTGCAGATAGAAAAATAATTCCAAAATGGCTTCCTTGAATTAAGTTTCAATGGCAGCAGCTTTGGAAATCCAGGACCATCTGGAATAGGAGGGGTGATAAGGAATGAAAGGGGAGTAATACTGGGTCTGTTTTCAGGACCAATTGGGGAAGGGGATTCCACAAGAGCTTAGTTGAATGCAGTGACATTTGGTTTGCAAAAATCTGTTGAGATAGGGGTTAGGAAGTTGATAATTGAAGGAGATTCTAAAGTAATCATAAGTTGGTTGAAACAAGATGAAAAGACTCCATGGTGCTTCAGAAATGAGATAAAAAAGTTCAGAAGGATTCCAAGGCCGGCTAACAGTCTTGCTGATCAGTTAGCAAAGCAAGGGGTTAACAGAGAGCAGTGTTTTTGGGCCCAGTTGTAATGCTAAAAAGGAAAAACTGTCCTCTTGTTGTGTGGTTGAGTTATAGTGGGGTAGCCTTAGGCAAGTGCTGTATTTTTCTCTTTTCTACCTTTTTAATTAATAAAATCTATTTGCGCTGATTAAAAAAATTCCAAAGAGAACCAAGCGAACAGCTTACTTCTCCGTGGATAGAATATGAATCCCAAGGAGAACTAAGAAAACAGCTTGCTTCTTTAAAATCCCCTTCTTTTCTTTTTCTTTTTTCCTTCCTTTTGTTCATTATCCTTGCTTTTTTTTTTTTTGATAGATATTATCCTTGCTTTTCAAAAAAGTAGCAAACAATTCTATAGAATGTCTGCCAGGGAAATGGAAAACAAGAGGGCCTTGATGCATTTACAGTATTAATGTCAGAGAAATGATATATGTGAAAATGACTCCCAGTCAGATCCTTACAGTTACAATTTTCAGTTAATTAACTACTAGATTTGATTGTTGATCAAAGGTGACTCTAAATTGGTAGTGGGGTGGCTGAAGGAACCGGAAACAGTGATTTGGAATTACAGGGAGTCAATGAAAAGATTTAAATAGTTAATTAGAGACATGATAATTATTATCCAACGGGAAAGGAGGTCAGCAAATGGGATGGCTGATTATTTTGCAAAACTGGGGGAGCATTAGTCTGAACTTTTTCTGGCTCAGTTGTAATTCTGGTCCTGTAATGAGTGTTGCACCTCATGCCTTTATTGGGTTTATTGTAACACTACATCTTGTCTTTAATAAAATTTCATTATTTATCAAAAAGAACTGCTAGATTTTTCTTTTCTAGCCTCTTTTATTGGTAATCAAAAAACAATTTTATTAGTGCTACACAATCATCTAAATTACCAGTAAGAAAAGGCAAGTTAGACTGAGAGATAGCCTCTAAATCATGAAGCACGCTAACAATAACTAAAGTATACATGCTGAGTACATAGTACAGACAATATCAAGGGAGGAAAGCTCCCCATACAATTAAGTTTAAGGCAAAGATCCAGAAGATGTTCTATTGCTGGTGCACATGCTGCTTAAGGTTAGATACAGGCAAAGAAGATGGACATAACTTCTATAACATAGTTTTCAAGGCGCCAAGGCGAGGCTAGGCGACTGGGAGGCGCCTTGTTGCCTAGTCGCCTAGGCGATGGATTTTTTTATAGGGTAGTTCCCTAGGTACTATAACCATATTTCTTTAATAATTATTCATTATTTTCATAAGAAAAGTATAAATTTCATATTAAAGTATAGAAAATCAACATATTCATGAGAAGAAAAGGAAGAAGGAAAATAAAATTCAAAAAACATAGGGGCTGAATCCTTATTTTTGTTATGGGAAAAGAAGAAAATAAAAAGTATTGGTAGTAGTAGTAGTAGAAGAAGAAGAAGAAGAAGAATATATGGAAGAGGAAAATGTGCTGATTAGATAAAATTTTAAGTTCTTCCTTACTTGTTGGTTCAGGTTTTCAAGTCTTTGAGGGTTCAATACAGAATTTAGCAATGTTTGTGTTGATTAAACCCTAATAAATGAGAAAATAATAAAAAAAATTAGTATATAAACGCACAAAATGGTTATTTTAGTTTAATAATGTCTATTTTATAATTATAATCTCAAAAAAGAATGAATAAAAAGTATTTTATAGTAGGAAGTAGAAAACTGCTTGGCGTTTAGGCGAGGCAAGCCTCAAAGGATGCCTTGTCGCCTAGGCGCCGCCTTGACAACTATGTTCTAGAATAGGAAAGTGATTATGCTGTATCAGCTAAGCTGCTTTTGCATGTATAACTTACTTGATAAGCACCATAAAGACTGGGTCGGATCAGCTCTGCCATACTTCCATTAACCACAATAAAATTTTTTGTTCCATTTGTTTTGACTCCAATGACATGGTTAACCAAACAGCATGTGTTGGCTATAAGTGATCTCCCAGGTTCAATAATGAGATTAAGGTCTCGAGAAAGGACCAAATCCCGGACCTACAAAACCAACATAATAAATATAATGAAATCATTATTTCAATCATAGTTAGCATTATTAACAAAAGCAAGCTATTTGGGCATATCCTGTTTTTGACAAATGGGGCACAAAAATATTACAGAAGTGCCATCATTTATAGAGCCATCAAAATAGTAGTTTATAAGGATGCAAATAACAATGCAACCTTAAAAAAACAATGTAACCTTTCTCAAATATGAAAGAAAAACAAGTGGCAAATCCCATATGAAGGCACTGTCAAAACAAGCTCCACTGACTCTTCTTCCTGGGATATCTTCTGTTTCATTTTTCTGTAGAGAACAAATGCTGCCTACCTATACACCCTACATTTGGATGTCATTATAACATATTTTAAGATGTGGTATTCAAAGTGTAATCAACAGATCTCAAGACCACTTTGCGTATGTAAAGTGTCATGCTGTTCCTGGTTGTGGGATCTCCTAGAGGGGGATGCCTTGTTGGATCTTGCACTCTATGTGCAGGATATGGAGCAACTGGTAGGCAAGGACTGATGGAGGAAGGGTGGATTGTCATTGATTTTTTTGTGGGCTCTTGCTCCCAATGCACATTGGACAGATAACAGCTACATAATGGTATATAAACCAATACCAATGCACTCCATTATGTATGTATGTATGCATGTATCTATATAAAAGAAGAAATATGCTCACAGTGTTAATGAGATCCATGGGTGTTGGAAGGACAGCACCGGAGTGATGATAATCTATTCCTAGACCACCACCAATGTTCAAGTATTGAATATCAAAGCCTTGGGCACGGATTTGGTCAATATAGTTCACCATGAGGATGGCAGCATCCGTGAATATGTCAACCTGAAAATAAAATGAAACAGCACAGAGGTTATTATTGCAATGGAAAAAATAAAAGAAATAAATCTACACATGTAGCATTCAATGAATAAGCATCCCTTGGAATTGCTTATTTGCTTTATGTCCGTTGCTCTGGTAATCTTTTTTTTTTTTTAATCAATATGTTGCTCTGGTAATCTTATACAGCAACAGTTACTGGAGCTTTTCTGAAATGATCTTAGTTAAGCAAAGATTCAACTTTTATTTCAAAAAGGAAAAAAAAAGCCCAGAAAAAGGCATAGATAATGTTGCAAGGATTTATTGCTTGAATCTTGCCCCAGAAGGGGGAACACTTCGTATGGCCTCCCAACAATGTGACCACATAGAAGGTTATTAGTTGGTTAAATCTCTTCTCTAAAACAACTCAACCATCAAACTTATAATCACATGTTTCTGTACTTGTAAATAGAAAGATGGAAATAGAAAAGGGAGATCACAAGGTGAAGAAAATGTGTGATTGCATTATTTAATTTTTCATGGTAGACATGGTTATAGAAAGGGCAAAATGGAGGTTGACATGGACCACAAGATAGGTTAATTGCCTATGGTAGATACTCTTGCCATAAGGGAGGGTTGGGAGGAAAGTATCTTATTGGGAGCAGGCTCTCCCAGGATGGGAGAATTCTTTAGTGTTTTTCTGGATTACTTTGTATTTGTCGCCAGAGCCCTCTGGGGTTTAAGGGTCCTGCTTCCCATCTAGGGGTAGAGAAGATTTTATACCAATGAGCAAAACTATTACCATTTCATTGAAGTAGGAGAATCAGGTAATTTCTTTTACAAATTATGGTAACTCTAGTAAGTATTGGTTGTGCATTCAATGCCAGATAATTGGTTTCAGGGTGATGATGATGATGATGATGATGATGATGATTCATGGAGTTTCTTCTGTGATCTACACACCATACTAGAGTCCTAACTATGACAATCATTACAATGACTTTTTCCTTTTTAATTAGAGTAAACATAATTTTTCCCAATTTAACATCAATCCAAAAATTCTCAATTTAGTTGTCTCTCTGTCCGGCCCAACTAGAGTCCTAACTAATGACAACATTTTATTCATATCTAGTTACAATTCTATCTACCATCATCTTTTTTCACTCATGTCATGTAGCAGAAAACTTAGGGTATTGAATATCAGATGGGTTATGGTCAATCATATCTGAGCTAAAAGTCTGAGATGGTGAGAGGGTGAGAGGGTGAGGAACTGAGATGGGAGAATTTGTGGAGGTAGGCCGTTGGAAAAAAGCTTTGAAGATTGAATCTAAGGAGCTCCTATTTGAGGAACTGAGATTAAATGGTCAGCTGAGCTTGAAAATCAGGGAAGCAAAGAGAGGGATGGTGCTGTTAGAAGGTTTGGGGGTAATTGAAGGGCTCA